CCTTAAACCACATAAACACATTTCATTACACCAAATACACAAAATAATGTTCTTTTTAGCAACATCATATGACCCCTTTAAGACCACTGAGTATCCTATCAAGTTATAAATGCAGCATAGACTTGTTTTGTTATATATATATGTATATATATGTATATATATATATATATATATATATATATATCGTTTTTATATGTAAGTTGTGGGTTTTTTCAGTGACTCCTTCTGCAGGTTACATTGTTACACCAGTAGGTGGCGACAAACGGTGATAATCATTCAATTTTAAATGATTCATTCAAAAATGCTAATTCATTAAAGGAACAAAATGTCTCTGGAGTTCACATTTGTGATTTACATCTTACAAGGAATAAGTCAATTTTATAATGGTTACTTTTCTGAAATGAGACACCCTAGATGATATATGCAATATCAGTCACTAAAGTCACTAAATCATTCACTCAACCAATTTGTTCAAAAAAGCTGATTAATTATTGTGTCTTTGTTTGAAACTATTTTCGGTGGAAAAATAAAACTACAAAAAAGTAACTGCACTCAATATCAAATTCTTATTTGTTGAAATGTATAAAAGTAAAATTGCACTCTCAATCAAGATATTGGTCTGAATATCAGCAGGGCTGCATAACACATACAGTATATAATGATAACAAAAGTTTCATTTGTTAACATAATTTAACTACATTGGTTAACAGTCTTTTAATGTTAATTTATACATTTACTAATACATTTTTATAATCAATTTAATTACTAATTAATTACTTAGTTACTTTTTATGAAAAGTAAACAAGTTACTGTTGTGTTACTGTTGTGTTACTTTTTGTCACCTGGCTTGCGTATTTGTTTTTTAATTAAAAAAGCCATATTTTTGGCAACTGTAAGGGCCCTTTCACACCAAAAGTGAAATTAATAAGGAAGTGCCTCTGCCCCAATTTCCCTCAACACGGGGACAGGAGAGTTATCAGTGAATACATGGAAAAACAAAGTAACTTGCATTACTTATTTGAAAAAGTATCTTGGATATTACATTGTAAATTTAAAAGTAATGCATTACTCGCATTACTTGTAATGCATTACCCCCTAATAACACCAGTGTGATTGTATCAAATATAAAAAAATATTATTCGGCTATTTTTTTGTCTTTTGGAAGCTGCATTCAAAATCCATTTGGCTCAGAAATCTGAGGGGGGCACGAAAACGTGGGAAAAGCCGACGAGGAAGAAGTTGGGGTGAAGCGATCTTTATATAGTTGGAGCAAAATACTTCATCGCTCCGTCTATAGCGCATTGTGATTGGATGTTTACTCTGTCAATACAAGAGACAAACCAATGGGCCTCTGGCTGCTCGCTTTCCTTGCGTGATGGTCCTCGGCAAAAAAAATACAAAATAGAAACTTCTGTCGGCCCCTTAAGTGCGTCGGCCCACCGGGAAAACGCCCGGTATGCTCGATTACCAATCCAACCCTGTTATCACTATAAACTGACGGGACAGACAGTGATTAACCTCATTCTTTTGTCTCTATACATAAAGATACATTGGCATAGATGGGTGAACATAATCACCTGATTTTGTAAATGTGGCCAACTACATTTGCATTAAGCACCGAGTTTGCACTTGTCTATAATTTAAATTAATAGCTTACATTTACAAACAGCCTGCAATAAACAAAAAATAGTGTTGCCTATATGTCATGATAAGAGGTAAATCCAGCCCTGCTTTTAGAAAGACACAGAAGTGATTTCAGCACTTTTTTAGACTTCTTACTTGATCAGACTTAAATTGTCAATTTAAATTAATTTGATTGTGTTTTTGTCATTTTTATTAATGTACAAATATATATTTAGCATCAGTTTTAATATGTATAATTATAAATAATTTTATTTCAGTTTTAGTTTTAGTCATTATAAAACTTCAGGTTAATTTATTTTGGGTAGTTGCCAAAACAACTTTTCAAATTTCCATTTAATCTTAATCTTTTAGATTTTCATCTAATGTTTATAATTTATTTTAAGCTCTATTTTAGTGACTGAATTAAATAAATAATTGAATAATTTAATTGTTTTTGTTCATATTAGCAAGAGTATTATTATTAATAATAATAAACAATACATTATATTAATAAATCATATTATTATTATATTATTAATAACAATATTATTCATATGAAATAATATTAATATTTCAATTTTGGGTAGCTGCCAAAACTTTTAGATTTTCATGTAATGTTTATAATTTATTTTCATCTCTATTTTAGTGACTGCATTAAATAAAATTTTGAATAATTTAGTTGTTTTTGTTCATATTAGCAAGAGTATTATTATTATTAATAAACAATTCATTATATGAATAAATCATATTATTAGAATATTATTAATATGAAATAATATTAATATTTCATTGCATTATTGTGGAATAATAGCTACTGTTTATTCGGGCAGTGTTCAGTAAAGAGCGTTGTGATTCACGAGAAAAATATATAGGTATAATAATTATTTCTGCTGCATTTATTATGTTGTTTATCTCATTTGAATATGAAAGCACTGTGTAAAGTTCTGTACACAGAAAACATTTTGTATTAAAACATCTCACTATAATTAAAAAATTACAGTGTATAATGTCTGATGTGTTTGATCAACAGCACGAGTGCCATAATTGGGTTCACTCTTGATCATTAAATGAACATCTGTTGATTGTGTCTCTTCAGCTCCTGTGATTCTGGATCCAAACACGGCTCATCCACGTCTCGTCGTGTCTGATGATCTGGCCAGTGTGAGATTCAGCGAGAACAAACAACCTGTTCCTGATAATCCAGAGAGATTTAAACATTATTTCTGTGTTCTGGGTTCAGAGGGTTTTAACTCAGGAACACACTGCTGGGATGTGGAGGTTAAACAGAGTCAGTACTGGAGTCTTGGAGTAACTACAGCATCAGCATCTAATCATCAGGAAGAGCTGAAATCTGCAAAGACTGAGTTTATTAAAGAGGACAGAGAGAAGATGAGAGATCCAGAACCCTGCAGAATCAAACACACTGAAGATACCGAAGAACTAACAGGTTAGTGATTATTCTTCATTAATGAGGCTGAATTTTATCTCCTTTCACATTTCTCTGTTTTTATGACAGTTGATTGAAGATAATGAGGAGAAAGAAGAATTGAGTGAATTTGAGGAGAAAAATCATGTCAAAAGTGGAGAAAAACCAAAACAGAAAGATTTAAATAAAAGAAGAGCCAAGAAATCTTTCACCTGCACTCAGTGTGGAAAGAGTTTCACATACAAACACACTCTTGATGTTCACATGAGGGTTCACACTGGAGAGAAACCATTCACTTGTGATCAGTGCGGAAAGAGTTTCACACAATTAGCAAACCTTAAGAGACACATTAACATCCACACTGGAGAGAAACCGTTCAGTTGTGATCAGTGCGGGAAGGGCTTCACACAATTAGCAATACAAATCGTTGCAAAGCTCACAGCCTGTGGTAACTCAGTACTTAAACTTTATTTGCCACATCCAGGACTTATAAAGCATGTGTAATAACACATATAATATTTCACATTGTTGGCAGATGTTTTAGCTATGTAATATATACTATGTAATAGATATTTTTCAAAACAATTGCAATGGCAGGACATCGAAATTTAAAAATGCTGTTTAAAAAAGTTGTTACCGAGCTTTTACCTGTTGCCTCACTTTATATTTGGAAGAATTTTCATTATAATCTTTTTTCTGAAT